GGACTCCCCTGGCGGTCCAGCAGTTGAGACTCCGCGCTTCCACTGCCGAGGGCCCAGGTTCGAACCCTGGTTGGGAACTAAGATTCCACAAGCCACGTGGCACAACCAAAAAAACCAAAACAACAAAATACCTTCCTAGAGATCCATGTCCTCCAGGAAGCCTTCCCAGACTGACGCCCCACAGCACGGGGTGTCCTCCCTGCTGGACCCACCTCCCTGGCCCACGTCTGACCCTCAGCCCAGCCGATGACGGGGACGCTTCTGCCACCTGGCACGTGTGTGTCCGCCCTCTGCCTCACAATCAGGACGGTGGGTGAGCCTAGTCCCAGGCCCGGGACACGAGAGCAGCAGGCCAGCGAAGCCGGTGGTGGTCAGAGCCATCAGAGAGCCGTCCCCCCGTAGCTGAAAAGCGGGACTCGTCCCCCAAAGTCCAGCAGAATGCCGGCAAGGCCGGCTCCTCCGGTCCACCAAGGAACCTCACGCCGCCATAGATCCTGTCTCCTGCCACCAGATGAGAACTGCGGGAGGCTGAATTCACAAGAGATCTCGAGTCTTGCTGAAAAGCAGGACTCATCCCTCAAGAGGCCAACTGGCATTAATTAGGGGCAGATCTGCACCTGTCACAAAGCTAGGCCTTGTCCTCCTGGGAGGAAACGGGCCCCCGAATCCAGCCATCGAGGGAGCCCTTGTCCAGGAGGTGTCTGGGCTCCCAGACAAGCAGGTGCATCTGCATGGTCTCGTCTCCCCAGGAGACCCCTCTCCCTGCTCTCTGCCCATTCTCATGCTCTGGGGCCTAGGGCCTGCTTGGGCTCCAGGACCTGGCTGGCAGGATCCTCGAGAAGACATTAGAGGGTTCAGAAAGGCAGACATGTCCTCTAGGCGGGAGAACAAGGCTCTGGGTCCGGAGCTCCTGGGTCCTGGGCCAGACTGTGTTTCAACCAACATCAAGGACTTTTAGGATTCTTTCTCCGTGTGCAAATCTGGTTACAGCAAACACTGCTAGGGAAAGTAGGCCAACAGCTAGCACTTGGAAGGGCTTTTGTTACACAAAGACCAGGGTTGTAATAGCGTTTGCGATAGCAGAGTTGGCCTGAGTTCACTAGAGAACACGCCGTTCCACTGCTCTGTGCCTGGCAGCCAGATAGGGGACTACGTCACCACTCGGGCCACCCCATCACCCAGGGAGTGACGGGCGCGGAAGCCACCTGAGGCCCATCTTCAAACAGGGGGAAGCGGAAAAGGAGACTCTCTAAAAAAAAATCGCATCAGCAAAACACAAAATACTTTTCTTGCCCCTAATATGAGGGTCTCCACGGAGCCCTGAGATCCTCCTTAGGGCGAGAGCAAAGACCAGTGTGGGAGGTTTGCATCCATGGAGGACACTGCCACCCTCTCAGTCCCCCGGGAGACCTGAATCCACAGACGTGTCCAAAATAGAAGACAGGATGAATCCCCGCGCCACCTCGGTGATGGGATGAAGCTTAAAGATCTCGCCCTCAATTCTCCAGGGTGGGGAAGGAGATGGGCAGGAATAATGGGACGAAAAGAGAAGAGCGTTCCTCAAGGAAGGGGGTGGATGTGCCCGGGATGTGGGGCATCAGCAGAATTTAACGGTGGGCGCCCGCTCCATCCCCCCCACATGCATATCCACCCGGGGCAGCTATCTGTCTGCCCTGCAGGGCACGCTGCTCCAGCCTGGATACTGCCGTCGCCCCAAACCTCCAGGAAACACCCCATCAGAGCCCGTCGACCCCCGCTGCAGGATTCCAGTCTGCTCAGACGTACTGTCATCCCCAGCAACGCCGTGGCTCAGAACTCGCCCGGCTTTGGTGGTGGCCCCTGGGGCCTCCATCCTTCGGCCATCGACACGTGCTTCGAGACGGGGCCAAGTCCGCCAGCCTCAGGAACTATCGGGACTTTGACCCTACCTCGCGGAAACTGAGACGCGGAGTGGGCAGCCCGGGCCGAGGCCCCCCACTGGCCCCAGAGAAACAGACCAGCACTTCGGCTCCGAACTCGATCACTCCGGCTGCCTCCCCAGGACGGTCTGGGCTCCCGGGGGATGGGCACACCTGGGCCTCCGTGGCCTCACCGTCCGACTGTGGCAAGCTGGCCCCTCTTTATGTCCCAGTCCTAATGGACCAGCTCATTCCGGCCTCCCCCGCTTCTGTCGCTGCCTGAACGCGCTCCTCCTTCTGCTGCAGTCAGACTGTGTCTCCTCCACACGACCTTCCTCTGCCCTGGCTCTGCCAGCCTGTATCACCCACTGCTGCTCTGGGTCAGACACTCGCCTCCTTTCCTGATCGCTCCTTCCCACGTCTCTCTGTTTGAGGCTATCAGCCCCAAAACCCAACTCCACTCCAAGTTCCTGGGGCTCTTAGGGAGGCCGCCTTTCTGGTCCCTAAGCTGGCCGTGCGGAGCCCGCGCGCGCGCACACACACACACACACACACATGCGCGCGCGCGCATGCCCAGGTGCACTGGGGGGCTCTAACTCTCCTGTCTTCAGAGCACAACGGCTCTCCAGGGCACACAACGGAGAGGCTGACACACACAGGGAACCGGGGTGGGGGTGGGGGTCCGAGGCCGCGCTCCCTAAGAGTGAGAAACCTCCCCCTGAAGGCACAGGGCTGCCAACTGCTGCACCAGGACAGTCTCAATGAGGCCATTGTCTCCAGCTAAATGACAGCCTGGAGAAGCCGCCTGGGAAGCAGCCGCAGAGGCCACCAGCGGCTCCAGATGGGGCACTTCGGGGTGAGGATGGAGTCGCACGCGGGGCCGGGAGGGAGGGGCACTAACTACCTACGTGGCACGAACTGTGACAGACCACACAACCCCCAAACCTCCTCCTGCCAATCCTGCTGCAGGGCTGCCATCTCATCCCCAGAAAGCTCCGCTTCCAGGTCAGGGACCGCAGGCCAGCCTAACTCCCACAGGCCACAGGAGAAAAGCACACACAGCGCGGAACCTGAAGGCGGCAGCAGTCTCCAGATGGGCCAGTTCTCCCGCTCGGACACTCAGGAGATGAAAGGCCCCTGAGGAGCTGCGGGAGGGCTGCTGGGGGCAAGCAGAAGGCGAAACAGAAGGAAGGAGACTCGGGGAACATGCTGGGTATGAGCAGGCGCCCCAAGAGGTCCTGATGTTCGGGTACAAGCCATCACAGCTCTGCAGACCCACACTCCCCTTGTTCAGTGCCCAGTGTCAGAGTCGGAAAAGTGCTCCAACCACAGAGCCAGCCCCCAGCAGACCCATCCCTCGCACAGGGCAAGCCGGCCACTTGACCCCACCCCCTCCTGTCTCTCCACCCCCTGCTAAGCCAGTCCAGGCCCAGCCCAGAATCACCGCCTCTGGGGCTCTGCTGGGGGCGCAGCCAAGCTCTGGTCCCGGAGAAGTGCCCCGCGCAGATGGGGCTGACCTCCGGTGGGCCACGTGCATGGCTGGGCTCTGGACCCCCAGAAGATCCCAGTCTTGATTCTGCCCTTGGGGGAGGGGCACCTCCCCGCAAGGCCTGGCACCTGGACGTCTGTTAACTCCTTTCGACCCAGCCTTCCCAAGGCCAGGTCCACCAGAGGGCTCTGCCCAAGGCTGCCTGGGAGCCCCTCCGAGGGGCGGGGGCTCCAGATCCCAGCAGAGGCAGACCCGCCCCTCAGAAATCCGGCCCCTAAGTGCTGGAGACTATTGTGTGCGCTTCCCTTCCGACCGCTTTATTTACTCCCCAAGACGCAGGACGCAGGGCCACAGGCAGTCACGAGGACGCACGAAAGCCACACACACGAGCCCAGGACCGGGATGCCCTCCCGCACCCGGCGGGAGAAGCCCCCCAAGTCTCTCAACACTTTGTAAACCCAGGAGGGGAGAGGGGACCAAAACGCGCTCCCAACCAGCAAGCAGGCCCCTCCTCCCCCCACAGCCGGACTCCGGGAGGACGAGGAGAATGTCCCCAGGCCCGGATGGGGGCCGATGGGACGCCCTCCTCTACACTCGCCGCGGCCTGGGCCGTGTCCACTCGGGTCCCTGCCCAGCCCGGATTCGGCTCAGCCCCGGCTCCGAAACTGGTGTGGGGGAGGAGGCTGTCCTGCGGGCGGGACGCGGGGGCGGGTAGCGAACTCCCCCAACCCGCCGCAGGGCCAGGGCCCCGAGGCCGACGGGGAGCGCGGGAGGGATAGGACTGAGCGACAGCTGAGAGGGAAACCGCGCGCCAGGGCCGTTTGAGGAAGCCCCGCGAACCCTCGAGGAGACTGTCGTCGCTCGGCAAACACAAACAACAATAAAAGGAAGGAAACCCAGCGGCAGCGCGCAGGGCGAGCGCAGGGGCCAGCGAGGGCGCGCGGTCCCCGTGTCCCCCTAACGGGGTGCTCCACGGAGGCGACGCGGGCGCGGGGCGGGGGGCGCGGCGGGAGGGCACCCCATCGGGGTCCTCCCTCCCCGTCCGCGCCCCCGTCTCGCCTGAGGTCCGCCCCGAGGGGCCCCCGAGCACGCCCGCGGCGCGGTGGCCGGCCGGCACCCACCTTCGAAGTCCGAAATGATCCCGTCCAGCTGCGCGTTGACCGCGGGGTCGGACATGGTGGCTCGCGGGCGGCGCGACGCGCGGAGGGCGGCGGCAATGAAGCGCCCCGGCCGGCACGGGCCCTGCGCGCTGGCTGGGGGGCCGCGCCCGCGCTCCCGCCGTGTAGAGCTGGCCGCCGGAGCCCCTCGGCCCCCGGGCTCGGCTGAATGAATGGGGGAGGCGGGCGGGCGCCGGCGCTCCCTGCTCCCCGCGCCGCCGCCCCGCCCCGCCCCCGCCTCCCGGGCGGATCAGGTTCCCGCACCCGCGGCCCGGCCTCCACTTCTCGCACTGGCTGCTCCGCCCGCCTATCAAGGTTGGGCCTGGGGGGCTGGGACCCGAGCGGCCGCCGCGGGGACAGGCCGAGTCCCGGGCGCCCGACCCGAGAGCCCCCCTTCTACCCGCCTGGCCCGCGCCCAGGGGACGGCGACGGACGCGGCCCCGGCGCCCTCCCCCCTCGACGCCCCGCTGAGGCCAGATGTGGGCGGATGTGGAGGTCGGGCGGCGGCGCGGGGGCGGCGCCGAGGGGGGAAGAGATTCCTCCCCTTCCCTGGGGCGCAGGGTTCCTTCTGCGGGAGGTTTTATTTACGCAGCCAAACAAAGTTCGCCGCCGCCTTCCCGCGCGCAGCGCCTCCAAGGGTTAAGCGCTCGGACTGGCGGCCGGCAGGAGCCCAGCCTGTTGGCCAAGAGCCGAGGGGCGAGCGCCAGTCACGTGACCCGGGGCGGGGAGGGGGGCGCCAAATCCTACCCTCTTGGGGCACCTCTCCAGCTGCTCCCTACCCCCAGCCCACCGCCCCCGAGGTCGCTGCTGCACCCTCGGGGGCGGTGTCAGAAAAGGCGCTGGCCCACCGGGGACGCGGGGCAGGGACGGAACACCCTTGTCAGAACCGCCAGGGACACGTGCCACTCCAACGCTGCACAACAAGGGGCTTCCTGAAGGCAGAGCGTAGACCCCGTGTTCTCCCTGGTAAGGCGCAGATATTTCAAAGTATCTGAAGGGAGGCGTTGGGGGAGGGGACGGGGAGGAAGGGGCCTGCCGGTGAGGCTCGGCCCCATCTGGCCCACACCTCAGGCCTGGCCTTGCCCTCCCGGCCAGTTAATTTCTACCCTTCTCCGTACATTCGACAAACATTGATTAAGCCCTATTACCTACAAGGCAGTCAGGTCCCAAGGGCTGGGGACAAAAGGATGGGCTGGAACTTGAAGAGCAGCCAGGAAGGGCCCTCCAGGTCTGGCACCAACAATGGGGGGAGGGGGTCTCTTCCAATCCCCCCAGCCAGTTACGCACTCCTGCCTATCCTCCCATTTTCTTAGACCCAGGGCCTCTGCCCCAAGTCGGGGGCCTGTGTGAGAACAGCAGGGAAAGACGCTCTCTGAGCTGGTGGGCAATTCGGCAATACGGTGCCCTCCGGGTGGCATGCGAGTGCCCGAGAGCTCGTCCTGGGTCTCAGACTGGTCACTGCCACTCCCCTCCCAGCCCCCACGCCCCCAGTTCTGAAAGATCCCAAATGCGCAGGGGATGCTGAGGCCTGACCGCCATCCCGGTTAATCAGGGCCTCTTGCGGAGAGTGCAATGCGCTGGGCATGAGGAGATTTCTTAAGTTGATGAAATCGAGTCCTTCCTTTTTAAGAAAAGCAGTCTCTCCCTCCCCCATGCTTTGGATATTTTGAACTATTTTCAACCAAGTGAGTTTGTGGACAAGGAACTGCAAAACCACAGACATTTCAGATGTGCACACACCCTCTGCCTGGGAGCTGGGGTTTCAGAAATGGAGTCGCCACTGTCATTAATAGCACCTCTGGTGGCTTCCACACCAGCCCGGGGCATTTCTTGTCTGAAAACCAGCACCTGGGCCCACCCGATAGTCCAATCTTCTGGCCACCTGCCCACCCAGTATTTGGGGGTTTGGTGGTCCACTGCCTCTAAGAAACAGCCTAATGCCATAACCCCCTGGGAAGATGCTGGGTCTCAGAGACAGGACAGCATCCAGCCTGGGCCACAGCATTTCTCTCCAGTGTTTTTATAAAAAGCACCTGGTGCGCGTAGACACACCCATGCGATTGTTCTTCCAGGGCGCTGGCCTGGAGTTCTACCAGATTCGAATAGGTTGGCTTATTGTGCATTATTCACTTCCATTCACAGTGGAGCTAAACATACTGAAGCTTATCTCCTCAGGGAGCCCAGCCAGGGTGCATGCCTCACCAAAATGCTCCCCTGTGGGAACCCAAAGGACAATGGCAGGAGGGAGCGGACCTCCGAGGCCAGAACGTTGGCCGGACTGTGCTCCAGACCCCGTCCAGTCCATCCCCCTGCCTGCCTCTGGCCCCCCTTCACTTAACCACTGAGGCTGCCGTTGCCAGGCCTAGACACCTCCAGGTAAGGAGATTCCCCCCTGTTCCCTGAGGAAACCGACCCCGGCACTTGGCCACACTCCCAGCCAGGAAGTTCACCCTTGTATCTAACCAACTGCTCTAATTGTACATCATTTATTTCTTCTTTTTTTCTGTCCTCAGAGGAGATGGGAAACAGCTGGGCACCACCCTTCGAGTAATAATTACCTCCTCCAAACTCGAAGACAATCCAGTTGCTCCTTGGCCTTCTCTTCCTCAGCTTAAATCATCTGTCCCCGGCCCTTTAATCATCCCCCATCCTTTGATCACTCTGATGACTGTGTCCAAAGTGGGGCTCCAGGACTTTAATAAGGCCTGATCCCTGTAGGATGGGGAGGGTGCCCTGACCCCCTGTCCCAGGGCATGAGCAGTCAGGGCCGGGGTCTGGACAGACAATCCTGGTAGGGGCGCTGGGCAGATAAGATCAGCAGCAGCAGAAAAGGGAAGAAAATGAGCTTAAATTTGGCGAGAGCAAAAGAACTGCAATGCGTCCAAATTCTGTGATGGTGCGCTCTCCCAAGGCCACGGGGGAAGGCAAGACCGTTTGTAGGCCTGGCCCAAGGGGAAGGTGTGATCAGGGGAACATCAGAGGGGCCACCTACCTCACAGGTCCACCATAAGACATGTAGTGGGGTGCATGGTGGGCCCCCCAAAAGCTATGTCCATTCCGAACCTCAGAATGAGACCTGACTTGGTGTAAGGATCTTTGCAGACGAATGAAGCTAAGGGTCTTGAGACAAGATCACCCTGGATTAGAGTGAGCCCTGAATCCAATGACCAGTGTCCTTATAGAGACCAAAAAGGAGAAGACACAGAGGCGCAGAGAAAAGGGCCTCGTGAAATCAGAGGCAGGGATGGGAGTGACGCAGCCGCAAATCAAGTAACACTTGGGACCCCAGAAGCTGGAAGCAGCAGGACGCTTCCCCAGAGCCTCCGGAGACAGCTTGCCCTGCTGACACCTTGAGTTCAGGCTCCTGGTCTCCAACTGAGGGAGAATAATTTTTTGTCCTGTTAAGCCCCTCCCAGTTTGTGGTTCTTTGTTACGGCAGCCCCAGGACACTCCTACAGACCTTAAACTCCCATCTGAATCATCCCTTCAGGCCAAAGCTGCCTCTCCCAAAGATGTCTCAAAGCCCCAAATCCTGCAGTCGGCAGTGAACGCTGGCCAGCAGGTGGCAGTCCCGAGGGGGCTCGGGGGCACTCAGCAAGTTTTCATCAGAAAAGCTGGAGGCCAGGGCTGGGTGAGAAAGGTATAAATATGAAGCCTTTCTGGAGATGGAAGGAGCAGGCCTGAAGGGAAACCCCACAGGTCCAGCCCAGGTGGAGTGACCCTTGCAAAGCATGGGGAGAACGGGAGGAGGAAGTAGATGGGCGGAAACAGCCATTTGGCTCACCCATCAGTACCCCTGACCCCACGCTCCAGGGGGGTGGCATGGGGAGCAGAGGGAGGATGGTGGCTCTTTGCCCAGCAAAACCAGGCCTTTGGACCGGACACCCCATGCAGTGGACCATCTGGCTCCTCTGAGGCAGGGGCCATATGGTCTCAGCTCTACGTGCACCTAGCGCCCCTCAGGGCCTCCCTGAGCCCCAGAGCCTCGGGTCCATCAGCTGCTGAGCCTTCCACAGCCCTCAAGCCCCTTCAGCCCACCATCTCGGTAAACGGCACCAGCATCTACCTAGCCGCTCAAGCCAAATATCAAGGCGTCACCCTCGAGTTCTCCCTTTCCCTCCCCGCCACGTCCAAGCCATCAGGAAGTGTCTGCCTCAAATATCCGTGGATCAGTCTACGTCCCTCCTCAAGTTCCCCCTCTCCAGCCCACCCCCTCTGCCAGAGGTATGCTGCCTAAGGTTTAACAACCGGCAAAACAACTCTTCCTGATGTGTAGCATTGGCCTATTTCTGTGGTGTTAAGTATTCCCATCTTGGCCAGTTTGGGGCTACCAATGAGACACCGTTGAAACTGGGGCTGGATATCGTTTATATGTGGAATCTAAAAAATGGTACAAATGAACTTATTTACAAAACAGAAATAGAATTACAGATGTAGAAAACAAACTTATGGTTACTGGGGGAAGGGTGGGGAGGGATAAATTGGGAGATTGGGATTGACATATACATACTACTATATATAAAATAGGTAACTATTAAGGACCCACTGTATAGCACAGGGAACTCTACTCAATACTCTGTAATGACCTGTACGGGAAAAGAATCTAAAAAAGAGTGGATATGTGTATATGTATAACCAAACCACTTTGCTGTACACCTGAGACGAACACAATGTAAATCAACTATACTCCAATAAAAATTAATTAAAAAGAAACTGGGGCTGGGAAGAGATTGCAGTAGCTGCCGTTATACAGTGTTTCTACCATAGAGATACAGCAGAGATGAAGAACTCGAGAACAAAGATGACCCGTTCATCTGTCGATGGACACTTAGGTTGCTCCCATGTTCTGGCTATTGTAAATAGTGCTGCAGTGAACACTGGGGTACATGTGTCCTTTTGAATTATGGTTTTCTCAGGGTATATGCCCAGTGGTGGGATTGCTGGGTCATATGGTAGTTCTATTTCTAGTTTTTTAAGGAACCTCCATACTGTTCTCCATGGTGGCTGTATCAGCATTCCCACCGATGGTGCAAAAGGGTTCCCTTGTCTTCACACCCTCTCCAGCATTTATTGTTTGTAGATTTTTTGATGATGGCCATTCTGACCAGTGTGAGGCGATACCTCATTGTAGTTTTGATTTGCATTTCTCTAATAGTAATGTTGAACATCTTTTCAAGTGCCTCTTGGCCCTCTGTATGTCTTCTTTGGTGAAATGTCTATTTAGGTCTTCTGCCCGTTTTTTAATTGGGTTGTTTGTTTTTTTGATATTGAGTTCCATGAGCTGTTTGTGTTCTGGAAATTAATCCTTTGTCCGTTGCTTCATTTGCAAATATTTTCTCCTATTATGAGGGTTGTCTTCGTCTTGTTTATGGTTTCCTTTGCTGTGCAAAAGCTTTTAAGTTTAATTAGGTCCCATTTGTTTATTTTTGGTTTTATTTTCATTACTCTAGGAGGTGGGTGAAAAAAGATCTTGCTGTGGTTTATGACAAAGAGTGTTTTTCCTATGTTTTCCTGTAAGGGTTTTACAGTGTCCGGTCTTAAATTTAGGTCTTTAATCCATCTGGAGTTAAGATGTGATACGTATATACAATGGAATATTACTCAGCCATAAAAAGGAACAAAATTGGGCCATTTGTAGAGATGTGGATGGACCTAGAGTCTGTCATACAGAGTGAAGTAAGCCAGCAAGAGAAAAATAAATATATATTAATGCATATATGTGGAATCTAGAAAAATGGTACAGATGAACCTCTTTGTAGGGCAGAAATAGAGACACAGATGTAGAGAACAGACACGTGGACACAGAGGGGGAAGGGGAGGGTGGGACGAATTGGGAGATTAGGTTTGACATAAATACACTACCATGTATAAAACAGATAGCTAGTGGGAACCTGCTATACAGCACTGGGAGCTCAGCTCGGTGCTCTGTGACGACCTAGATGGGTGGGCTGTGTGTGTGGGGGGAAGGAGGTCCAAGAGGGAGGGGATATAGGTATACATATAGCTGATTCACTTCATTGTACAGCAGAACCTAACAGAACATTGTAAAGCAATTTTACTCCAATAAATAAATAAATAATAAATTAACTCAAAAAGAAAAAAAGAACAAAGATGATGGTTAAATGCAGTAAGATACTTCGGAAGGGGTGAGCTCTGTGTATTATCTTTGTTCTTAATATAATTACTTGTAAGTAATTTAATTCATACCATATACATCTACGATTTAATTTTATAACTTTTTCTAATAGAGCGATGCATTTTTATTGTGGTAAAATATATATAATATAAAATGTGGGGCTTCCCTGGTGGCGCAGTGGTTGAGAGTCCGCCTGCCGATGCAGGGGATGCGAGTTCGTGCCCCGGTCCAGGAGGATCCCACATGCCGCGGAGCGGCTGGGCCCGTGAGCCATGGCTGCTGAGCCTGCGCATCCGGAGCCTGTGCTCCGCAGCGGGAGAGGCCACAACAGTGAGAGGCCAGCGTACCGCAAAAAAAAAAAAAAAAAAAAACTACCATTTCAAACACCTTTAAGTGTACAGTTCAGTGGCCCTAAGTGCATTCACGCTGTTGTGCAACCATCACCCCCGTCCATTTCCAAAACTGTCTTCATCATCCCAAACGGAAACTCTACTCTCATTAAACAGTAACTCCCCATTTCCCCCTCCTCGCCCCAGGCCCTGGCAACCACCATGCTACTTGCTGTCTCTACAAATTTGACTACACAAGGTACCTCATGTAAGGTGGAATCGTAATATTTGTCCTTGTGTCTGGCGTATTCCATTTAGTGTAATGTCTTCAACTTTTGTTATCCTAGGTACACATGTTTTGGCATGTGTCAGAAACTCCTTCTTTTTATAGGCTGAATAGTAGTCCATGGTACGCATATACCATATTTTGTTTATCCATTCATCCATCGATGGACACTTGGGATGCTTCCACCTTCTGGCTATTGCGGATAATGCTGCTACGAGCATGGGTGTACAAACATGTCTCTGAGTCTCTGCACTTAATTCTTTTGGGGGTATACTCAGAGATGGAATTGCTGGATTGTACGATAATTCCACAGAATTTAATTTTAAATAATTTATTTTCGAGCATATGTTTTTCATAAAACATACATTGTATGAAATGGAAATCACGTATTTTCTATTGTATACACTTAATATATAATTAAAATTTTAATAATGACTGTGCTTAACAACTGGCTCGTGCCCTGCCGTGGTCCCCTCTCCCCTGCATTCCTGCAAATCCTCCCAACTGACCTGCTTGTTCTGCTCTCACTTCCCTTCGCCCTAGAAATCACGGCGAGGCTTTAAAAGTGGGATCAGACTACGTCACCTCCCACAGCTTAAGGGTCGAGTGCAGATTCCTTACCGAGGTCGCCGAGGTCCCAGGTGCCTGGCCTCTACCCGCCGCTGCAGCCTCACCTATTCACTCGGCGCCCCCGGCCTCCTCCTGCATAGCTGTCCTCTCTGCCTGGACGGCCTCCCCCAGGTCTTGCCCTTGATGGCTCCCTGCCTGTCTTTTCCGTTTAAATATCAGAGCGACCACCCCAAGGCCCCCCAGGAGACCCCTTGAGCCAGTTGCTTCCTTGCCTCCAGGCCTGCAATGGAGACTCCCTGAGACTCCCCTGAGGCCCTGTTAGAGCCTGTGGAATGACAGAGTTCATTCAGTTCCCTTTGCGGGATGGCAGGGTCACGGGGACTCCTGACAGGGAACTGGCCCAAAGGGGCAGAGGGCCCTTTGGGACTCCCCTGGACTCCCTGCGCTCCTGCCAGCCTCACACAGACCAGCCCAGCCCCAGCCCCAGCATTCAGGGTGACAGGCAGGGGCGTTGCCTGTACTGGACCAGGCCTCCAGGACCCGTGTCCCTTTATCACCCTGTGAAATCAGCAGCGACCATGCTTCAGACCACTGAGTCTCTCAGGCAGCCTGATTTTGAATCTTCCCTTGAAGCCCGTCTGGGTACGGCTGACATTTAACCGGTGCGTAGGCTACAAAACACCCTTACGCCATCTGCCTGGCTGCTTAAATGCAGCCAGAAGGTTCCACTTCAAAGGGGAATGCCGTGCTCTTAGCACGTGATCAATCTGTTCCCCAAACTTCCCAGTTCTCGCTCCAGCCTGCTCTGCTCGGAACATTTACAGCAAACTCTGACCACAGCGGCCTGGCCCTTATCTCGGAGGCAGGGGACTTTTTAAACAAAATCTTTCTCTTCTAAATCATGCTTTTGAGCCACCAAAGGAAGCTCCTGGCCTTCGGGCCCCAAGCCAACAGGCTTCCCCACCCCCAGCGAGCCGGAGCCCTGGACTCCAGTTGACAGACGCTCAGGCCTGAATCAGCTGCAGTTTCCCTGCGTCCTAGGACAGCATGACCAGGGGGGCAGCACTGCCCACCCCTCCCATCTTTCAGATTCGCTGCAAACTTTACTGCGATGATATTAAACCCTACGGGACCCTGGGAGCCAGGGCAGGGGGAAGCGGCCCCTAACACAGAAGGCAGAAGGACAGGGCAGAAATTAGGACCCTGCAAGATGACCACTCACCAGCTGAACTCCGGCTGTGGCTTTGGAGACTCAGTTGTTTATTCCTGCGGCCAATGGGCTTTTGATTGGCAAATTTGGCTGCTGTCTGGGACTCTGGTTTGGTGAGTGATCACCCAGATACGATGGGGGAGGAGGAAGTCTCTTCTTTTGATGACTC